TTGGGAGCCATTAAACCAGCGCAGACAAAACAAGACAAAGAGCATCAGTCAACCCTGATGGAGATGTTTCATATGTTTAACTTGTCCTTCACCGATCACAGATCTGACATCATCCTCTGTCTCTGTTTGGAGCACAAGCTTCAGTGCTTCTTGTACATCATCACTTATTTTCCACCTAAACGTTTCCACCCTGGTCACACAGGAAAGCTTATCTGCAATATTTCAGAATGACTTTCAGATTTTCAACATTTCTACTCAGGGATGAATATGTACAAATGAAAAAAATATAGATTTAAATAGAGAAGGAAATAAGTCACACTTCATTTCTGTGCTGCCACGAAGACCACAGGTGAGAATGCTTCTATTCTGCAGGTACGTCGTTCACTACATTCTGATTATTTCCATGTTTACATAAAAATATGACAGATTTTTGACTTTGAGACCCGAGCAAACACTTAAAGCATGAAGAACCATCTACTGGCTTTATCTACAGAGGATTCCTTTACCAACGCCGGAGTGTCTGCAGAATGAAAAGATCACAGGGGGAGAAGCCGACCTGGTTGACCCCATATCAACCGGCTGGCTCCCCATATTTTTCACTTATGAATTCACTCCATTAGGCATCAGCGCACTGTCAGTCGCTCTTTCACATTCAGAGCCTCAGTGCTTCCAAAAAAAAACCCCAGAAAACACACACACACACACACAGACACACAAAGCGGCCTTTGATCTGCCAACCTGTGTGAGCTTGGTGAGGCCTCCTCCATCGATGAACTGGCAGCGCAGATCAACAGACTCTGTGGGATACGCCTCCAGCTCCTCCTCGACTCGCACTTTCTGAGCCCCGACACCTGGAGGCAGGAGACAAAGAGGAGAGGGAGGTTACGCAATCACCAAAATAAACACACACACACACAAAAAAAAGCTGTTTGCATTCAATCTAAAAGAGGAACAAACAGAGAAGATGGAGGCAGGATTCATTATGCATCAGGTGTATTTAAATGATCCTGCTGTGATTGAGATGTTTGCCCTCCCTCTGGTTTTGTCTTGAGGGAAGACTGACCTCCTTCAAGTGTTCAAAACAAGAGGAAAGACAACGAGAGAGGGACAGCAGACGAGAAACAAGTTCATTAAGCAGAAAGAAAAACTCCCAATCATCCGTCTTTGATAACAAGCCTCGGGCAGAGTCTTAGCCGGCTTCCTTCAGCAAGGCCTGGCTCATTACGCTAAAACTCGTCTACCGGCAGGCATCGCTAGGGGGCGAGCCTCCAGGAGCTTCGCCGCTTTCATGTGTTTGCAATTCAAAGGTGAAAAGGAACGTAGAGGGACGGGTCGAGGTTCACCGAAAAAAACAAGCTGCCCTCTGAAAGGAGATGAAAGGAGGCCGGTCGGAGCCAAGCGGAGCCTCGACGCCGAGCCGCAACCCGCCGACCTGCAGGCTGCCACCCAGTTTAAATTGGACGAGAGGTTTTCTTCACATTCGTCAATTCTTCTGCAATCAGCTGTGTGCAGAGGTCTTCTGACGAGGCACAAATCAGGAGTTGCAACACTTCCTTTGAACCTTTACTTGTGCTTTTTTACCCTTTATATAAAGAAAAAATGTCACCGTGCGCGGCCTTTATTTGCAGAAAAGAATTGGAATTGGATGTCAGGTCTCTGCAATCTGCAGGAAATCCAGGTTTCAGCAGGATTTCAAATGGATTAGACGAATAAAAATGATCCAATTAAATCAGTTTTCTTTCAAATAATCTGTCTCAAAACACGAAATGTGAACAATTTTAACTCATTTTGGCCAAATTTGAGTCACTTTGGACAAATTCCAAATAATATTTGACAAGTTTTGAACCTTTTGTGTGCAAAAAGCAGGAAAAGAGGAAGTCGTAAAGCACATTTTTAAAACCAAAAGAAACATGTAATAAAATCAATTGAGGCCATTTAGAGCAACAAGAAGCCATTGAAAACAGATGAGGTTTTTGTTCAAAATGTCAACGGAGGAAAGGCGTTTGATTGAAGGAGGACCATTATTCTAAATTTGAGGGTTTCAACAGCAGCATGAAACTGAGCTGCACAGATTCTGCACAGCAACAGGTTGAGAAAAGCTTCAGTTTCATACGAGACAAATTTAGCAGCTGCTCTTTTTATTTGCATTAGTTGCAACAGGATAAATTGCTGCAGTTGTGCCTCGTTTAAATAATAAATGATGTATATATGCATTAAAAAACAAATTACAGTGGCTGTGTCATTTTCTTTAAATTAATGAACTTTAATGAACTTGTAATTCCTCGTAATCACCAGAGAGAAAAGGCAGAAAATGACTCAAACGGAGCAAGAAAAGAAAAACAAAAAGAGAACGGATCAGAGGGAGCACAACAGAGAACTTGTAATCCTTTTCTTAATGCAATCTGGTGCGAGTCCAGCAGCTCAATGTGTTTGGCAGCGTCCACAAACAATCACACGAGGCTGCGAGTGACATTTTTAAAGACTCTTCCGTTGTTCGCAATCAAATCGGTCCGCCACAAAGAGCGTCGCCGTCCAACCTCTCGGTGCTCAATCTAACAACTTATAATGAAGCTTTCTTTGAGTCTTTTCTGCCTCCTGCTCGGCACAGTGATCCAGACCCCTGCCTCGAGCCCCCCGCTGACCCGGGATAAAATCCTACCAAGGTCTTTTCTCCTCCACCTCCCCTCGCTCGTTGCCCTCTCAGCCAGCCTCTGCGCCTGGAAAGATAAAATTCTTGCGGGGAGCCGGCCTCTCGCTCTCTCCACAAGAAAAAGGGGGGATAAGCACTCGCTAACCGCTGGCTAGCCCCGGGTGGTTCCACTGAAAAAGCCTCTTAGTGTGCGAGGGATTGATTAGGACAATATGTTACATGCTGCAGCGTGGAGGTGAACGGGCTGGCTGGGATTTAGCCTGCAAATCAGCTGTAAAACACAGTCCCACCAACAAAAGGAGACGAAGGAGAAGGGCGAAGGGAGTGTGTGCTGCACTGGGCTTGTTTTGGATTTACAAGCGTCCACGTGTTTGTCCATGTGTGTGATTCTATGTGTGAAGTCATACGTGTGCTTGTGTGACCACTGCGTGTGCGTAAATCAGTGGCTCATTGTGATGTGGCTGCAGGATTCTAAAGACGTTATAGAAAAAAAAAATGGCTAAATTACACCATTTACCACAGCCAGAAACTGTAAAAAAAACTCAACGAATCATTAGATTTTCTACTTTCCGGCGGTCCTTGAACCACTCATCTGTGAAACACCTCATGATATTTCATCAAAATCACTCGATATTCATAAAACCACCAAAAAATTAACCTTTTGTGCAAACAGGATTCTGTAAAAAGCAAAAAAAAATCGGCACTAATGTTAAGTCATTACTGCAACAAATGATCATGTGGGACTTTTCCGTTGAACTCGGTTAAACTGCAGTGTTTACTTTGAAAACTAATTAAAATGTAAAGNCGGACTCTCGGCTTCAGTCTGCTTTGTACAGTCGTGACTCAATAATCCAACTCTGAACAATCCTAAACCTTCTATCGGACAGGTTTTTAGGAAAAACAAACGGAACCCATAGAAAATAGTCTCAACATACCGACAGCCTTGGATTCTGACTCCAACATGACATTTTATGTCACAAATCAGGATAACGGCATATTATCTGACTGAACAATCCCACAGATTGGCTACGTTCACATTGCAGGACTTAATGCTCAATTTGGATTTTTTTGTGAATTCCTTCACATTTCCAATTAAATGCGACTTGTGTGTGATCTGCTGTGTGAACTAAATTGTATAATTCATCCCACTCTCACCCAACCGGTCGAGGCAGATGGCCGTCCCTCCCTGAGCCTGGTTCTGTCGGAGAACCCCCCCCCTGTGGGGGTTTTCGGTTCCTTCCCACTGTTGTGGACTGCTGAAGCTTATAGGGAATCCAGATGTTTTGGATTGTTGGGTGTTTCTGTTTCTGCCTTTGTGAAGCGCTATGAGATGACTGTTGTTGTAAATATGTGCTATACAAATAAAATTGAATTGAAGTGAATTGAATTGAACTTCATGCGACCCAAAAGTGTCCCGCATGCGCAGAAGAGGACACGATGACGTCACACGCAGCAAACATGCTTGGTGTTTATGGAAGTAAACAGGGATGGTGGCAGCTCCCCCACCGATGATGGAAACAGAACTGTGACTTCTAACTAAACTGACATCAGCAGCCAAGTACTGCCTGCACATTCCAGCCACTTCCACCCCATCAGAGCGCTGCCCCGGGGTGGAAGTGTCCCCCCAACCACACCAAATATCCGGATTTTCATCATTAATTGGATCCGTGTTGTTCAGACTGTCATGAAAAGATCAGATGCAGGTCGCACAGGAGAAAAAAAAAATCAGATTTGGGTCACTTCAGCCTGCTGTCTGAACGTATTGACCTTTGATGTCAACAGACGGGCCCAAGCGCACCGGTCAATTAGACGTGAAATCCAGTGATGCGTAATCAAATGACAAATGACCCTTACAGCATCAAGCCCTCCTCGTACCTCCACCTCCGTCTTGACAATCCGACAGCCTTGCTATCCGACATAAAAGAAGGTTTTACATTTAGTGTTGGATTGTCGAGTCACGACTGTATTTGAAAGCAGCGGACATCAGATGGCGTCAGATGGGAAAATAAACTCACTTGCAAACAGAAAATCTAACTGTTGAGNCAGTATAAATAGTATTTCTCCAGTATTGATAACACCCATGGGCCCTTAAAAAATGCTGTACGTACTCGTTCCAGGTTTTTCCAGGAGCGTGTGCTGCATTGGGGTTGTTTTGGATTTACAAGCGTCCATGTTATTCTCTGTGTGTGTGATTGTATGTGTGAAGCCATTTCTGTGCTTGTGTGATGACTGTGTGTGCATGAATCAGAGCCGCTCATTGTGATGTGGCTGCAGGTTGGAAAAGATGTTGTAGAAAGAAAAAGAGGCAAAAAAATTACACCATTTACCACAGCTAGAAAGTGTAAAGAACTCAAAGAATCATTAGATTTTTAACTTTCCAGTGGTCCTTGAACCACTCGTCTGTGAAACACCTCATGATATTTAATCAAAATCACTTTATATTTATAAAATCGCCAAAAATGAACCGCTTGCACTAATAGGATTCTGTAAAAAGAAAAAAAATCTGCAGTGATCTCTGCAAACATGAAGCCATTAGTGACTCTGCTACAACCAACTATCAAGTGACTAAAATTCAGGGACTTTTCAGTTGTAAATCATAAAAAAAACAACTATCTAACACCTGTGGGCCCCTTAAAAATGTTGCACAAACTCGTTCCAGGATTTTCCAGGAGTGTGTGCCGCATTGGGGTTGTTTTGGATTTACAAGCGTCCATGTTATTCTCTGTGTGTGTGATTTTAAGTGTGAAGCCATTTCTGTGCTTGTGTGATGAGTGTGTGTGCATGAATCAGAGCCGCTCATTGTGATGTGGCTGCAGGTTGGAAAAGATGTTGTAGAAAGAAAAAGAGGCAAAAAAATCTACCATTTACCACAGTTAGAAAGTGTAAAGAACTCAAAGAATCATTAGATTTTCAACTTTCCTGCGGTCCTTGAACCACTCGTCTGTGACACGCTGTTGAAACACCTCATGATATTTCATCAAAATCACTTTATATTCATAAAATCGCCAAAAATGAACCGCTTGCACTAATAGGATTCTGTAAAAAGCAAAAAAAATCTGCAGTGATCTCTGCAAACATAAAGCCATGAGTGACTCTGCTGCAACCAACGATCAAGTGACTAAAATTCAAGGACTTTTCAGTTGTAAATCGTAAAAAAAAAAAAAATATCTAGCACCTGTGGGCCCTTTAAAAATGTTGCAC